TTTAAAAAACCGTTTGTGTTTTAAACAAGAAATTTTATAAAAGCGTTTTAAATTAAAAATGCGTTTCTTTATAAATTAATTTAGAAAATAAAGCTTTAAAAGTAGTTTTTCTTTTTAAAAGTAGTTTTTCTTTTTAAAAGTAGTTTTTCTTTTTAAAAGTAGTTTTTCTTTTTAAAAGTAGTTTTTCTTTTTAAAAGTAGTTTTTTTTTTTGCGTTTGCGTTACTTTTTCGTTCTAAAGTGTTTTAGCGCTCCTTATTTGAGAGTTTCAATAATTTTTTTATTATGATATAAAGTTATCTAACTATTGCTATAAAATTATGTGTAATATTTATTGGTTTCTTTCAAAGAGAATAATGTAGAAAAGAAAACTTTCAGGTTTGGAATTTAAATAAAAACGCCTTCGAAAAGAGGGAACAATTGAAATTAAATCAAACATCTTTAGAAAAATTTTTATTAAAAACTCATCATGATAAAATGACCAAAGAAAGTCCATTAATTCATAATATAGCTGATTCTGGAAATGAAAGCAAATCAACTGAATCTACTAATTCAGTTGAAACTATTCAAACAATTGAAAGATTGAATGAAACTGCGGCTATTTTAGAATACTTTGACGATAATAGCGATTGGCAGGAAAATTTAAACATTGATTTCATACAAGATGCTGTTATAAAAGGTCCTAACAGTTTCAAAGAAGGTTCTAATAACTTTCCAAGAAATGTTGATAATTTGAGTTTTTCAAATCATTATTTTTACCGCGTCATGGATAATGGTGAAAAAAATCATAGAACGTCGTTAGTTTATTCACAAAAAGCAAACAAAGTTTTTTGTTTAAATCCTATTATGTTGGCTCAAAATGGTGGCAATGATTGGCGCCATATTTCACGAATCTGTAACTGCTACAGCAAGAGGGTGGATCTGAAAAACAGATTACAAAAATTTTAATTGATAAAATTTTGGATAAAAACTTAATTAAAGAAGTAAACATTAGGATAACGTAATGAGAAGAATAATTTCTCTAACTATTATGATGGCAAAGCAAAATATGCCTCTCAGAAGCTCCTTTTAAAAAGTCTATCATGATAATAATGGAAACTTTTTAAAAATTTTAGAATTTTTGGCTGAATTTGATCCAGTTATGGAAAAACATTTGTTTAGAGCAAAAAAAAAAAACCAAATTCTGTGCACTATTTGGCAAAAGATATTCAGAATGAAATCATTGACTTGATTGGCAAATGCGTTAAATTTAAAATTTGCTCAAATGTCCAAAAGTCCATGTATTTTTCAATTATTGTTGATTGTACACCAGATATCAGTCACCAGGAGCAAATGTCAATGCTGGTACGATATGTTGATGTAGAGGATAAGAACGAAATTCACATTAATTAAAGTTTTATTGGATTTCATTTAACTGAAGGTTCGACAGAACTAAATTTATCAAATGAGATTATTGACTCTCTGGTAAAAAATAACTTGCCGGTGGAAAATATGAGAGGTCAGAGCTATGACAATGGTGCAAATATGAAATGCAAAAGAAATGGTGTACAGGCTTTTATTATAAAAAAAACAACAACAACCGAACGATTTATATTCCATGCTGCAGTCACACATAAAATCTGGCAGTTGTTGATTCTGTGAGATGTTCACCTAAAATTGCTATGTTTTTCAATATAATTGATCAAGTTTACAATTTTTTTTCTGCTTTAACAAAAAGATGGTTAATTTTGCAATCAAAGTGTCCATCTTTAACAGTTAAACCGTTAAGTGATACAAGATAGGAAAGCCACATCAATGCTGTAAAAACACTTCGATTTGAAATGCCAAATATTTATGAAGCACTGCAAGATGCAGCTAAGACCGCTAATGAAACAATTGCAAAAATCACAGCAGAGTTTATTGCTTTAAAAATAACAAGTTTTAATTTTTTGTGTTCGATCATAATTTAGCATAAAGTTTTATTCGAAACTAATTTGACTAGCATACAACTTCAAGCAGCTTTAACAAATATTTCAGAGGTTTAAAAGCAATGGAAAGAACGATTAATTTTTTTTTAAGGAAAATTATAAAAAGGAAAAATTTGACTCTGTTGTGTGTATTGCACAAGAACTTGCTTCTTTTTTAAAGGTAAAAGAAAGTTTTGCATCAGAATCTGCTTCAAGAGTAAGAAAAAGAAAGAGATTCTTTGATGAACCTGAACAAAACTTTGAAAAACAGTTATGTCTAAAAGAAAAGTAACAGTAGCAAGCGCCGAGAGATCTTTTTTGAAATTAAAAATTATTAAAAATTATTTAAGATCGACAATGGGCCAGGACAGTTTGAACAACCTTGCAATGATTTCCATTGAAAATAAAATTGCCGCTGACTTAAATATTGAAGATATCCGGTTGAAATTTTCGGAAAAGAAAGCTCAAAAAGTAATATTTTCGAAATAAATTATTTTACCAAAAGAGTTGTATTAAATTAAGTCGAAAATATAAAGTTTGATTTATAAAGGGGCCAAAATATCTTTTTCACCCACCTTCGGAATGTCTAGCGCCGGGCCTGTTAATGTATATATATATATATATATATATATATATATATATATATATATATATATATATATATTATATATACATTAGCAAAAATTGCTAATGTTTCTATGTTTGTATACATGCATATTATTTTTAAGAATAATAACTTTTAAAAAAAAATTGAAAATATTAGCTTGAGCGCCTAATAACTCTAGCCCTTCCTGTGGCTGGGGGACCTTTTTACTACGCTACTAGGTTTAGCCAGACATTTTAAATAGCATTAGTTATCATTTTTTGTTCACTGGCAAGTTTTTTAGAAACTGTTTATCAATTTATTATTTTTTTCCTGTATGATCAGAATCTTTAATTACAGTTGCTTGTCCCTAAAATCTCCTAAGAATCTTTGTTATTTCTTTGAGGGGGATAACTTTAACCACAATTTAGTAAAAAACGTATACTTTTTAATGTCTAAAATTTGTTTGACATAGGTATTGCGCATTTAAATTTAAATAAAGCGGTTTTTCTTGAAAGAGCGTAAGTAACAGAGTACAAGTTTTTTGAAAAATTAAAAAATCTTAATATTTAAAAATTTTCTGGTCAAAAAACTAACTAAAGTTAATTAAAAAAAAAAAGTTACAATTTTATAATGTTGTTAAAGTTTCATAAAGTTTCGTATAGTATTTTTTTTTAAGTAATTGAAAACAAAAATATCTAAAATATCGCACTTTTAATAAAAATTTAATTTAATGAAGGTAAAATATTAAAAAAAAACATTAAAAGGAAAAACTTTAAAAACAAAATCAACTTTCGTAGACTCATAGTACTTTTACACATGAATGCACATATTAAACATATTTTGCAAATATTTCAAAATATTTATTAGAAAGAGACATAAAAAGTAACAAAACCAAATACTGACTTATACCCCAGTGGGCATGCGTCGTTCGGAGGACGTCGGCTAGACGTCTCACAGATGTCTAGACGCCTGTAAGACATGCGACGGACGTTCCCTGGACGACGGACGCTCCCTGGACAACGCATGCCCACTAGGACCAGGGATACACAAAAGTTATGAAATATGAATTTTTATTAAACTGATCATGGCAACTTTTTATAAAATATCCTTATTTGATAGGGGCATACACCAAATGTCAGTAGTGTTATTACTGAAAACATCATAAAATCCTGCGACTGCCAAAACGAAAAACGAAAAAAACTTAATTTTTATAAATTAGAATTAAATTTAAAATTAAAGCATATTATTGCTTGCCTTGAATATGAAAAAAAATATAATTAAAGAATTGATTAAAAAGTTGTATAATTAAAAAAAAACTGATTTTCATTTTTTATATACATTAGCTCCACACCAGCTAAAGGGTTTAAAAAAGTATAAACCCACATAAATTATAAAATATAATGTGATAAACATATATAATATAAAAACATAATATAATAATGCTGAACAAAAAATAAGAAACTGGATTTAATAACCAATCGCTGAGAGGTTCAATAGTTTAAAAAGAAGGAACTGCAGAGTTTTGGGTCAAAAAAACAGCAATATTAACAAATGATGAAGAAGAGTTATACATTATTGGCAGTAAAAAAAAAAAAAAAAAAAACAAGCTTAAGCAGTAAGTTTGAGTTAATGAGATCTTAAAGCAGAAGATTTTACTTTGAGACAAAGAAAAAAAAGAAAAACAAGATAAATAAAAATACAAACAAGGCATAAAAATTAACGAAAAAAAATAAACAAAAAAAAAAAACAGCTGTGGCTATGCGATAGTGATATGAGGGATATAGGTTTCATTATACAGAATGAGGTGCTGCTTTTGTAGTTACTAATTTTTCAATAGATTGACACAAAAACATTCAAGTTTATTTACCAAAAAACATAAGTTAATAAATCTGATAACAGTGATAACTCGAAAAGTAAAGTATTAAAGAGACCGAAAAAAATGATTGCGTTAAATGATAAAAAGTCTATGTTATCCTATTTTTCAAAATATGAAAAACCACAAACTTAATAAAGAAGAAGGTGAAAAATATTACATAAAACAACATACATATTTTGACAAATATGCTTTAGTTGTGATGATGGTGAATTTTATGTTTGTCTAAAAATTGTTTGCTTTAATTTGTGTAAAATAACTTATGCAAAACAATCAATAATTTATCTAAATTTCTTTAAAAAGATTGCTAAGTATTGTTGAACACACCAAACAAAAAAAAAAGTAAATCATGTCGGGAATGAATGATATAAAATAGCAAATAATTAATAACTATAAAATAGTTTAATAACAAATAATTGAAAAAATATTTTGATGACGAAAATATTCTGTCTTTCGGTTTTCTATTTAAAAAAATAATAACATAAAACAAAGTTTATTCTTTAAATGAAAATTTTGAAATTTTTCTATTTTCAACTTTCAAATTTTTATGAAAAAAAAACTTGAAAGTTTTTTCTTTTTATCGAAAATGCACTGAAATTTCAAAACATATTACTTACTAACCTAAAATAGAAAGCAAAAATGAAGACTCTTCTTTAAACTTTTTAGAAGGATTCAGGTTAACAAGAAACTTTAATAAAATATTTTGGTTTTTATTGCCTAATCCACAAATCATTGGTAAACAACTCATTAGCTTTCTATTGGCCATAATCTCATTACTGCTTAAACAATTGTATGCGTACACAGATGCACAAAACTCCATTATTGTCAAATGAGCGAATTGGTAAAAATAACCTAGATGTGTTTCAATCCTTTCAATAAAACCAAAAAAACTTTCATCAACTTCATTGAAGTTATTGATAAACTGTAGGAATTCCTCATTCGAAAAAATAAATTTATTTTCAATAAACAGTTCAAAAGCTATCCTACAAATGTTTAAAACATATTTCTTATTATTTTCATTTGCCATCATTTCATAAACCATTCCATTGTTTTTGATAATATGTTTTTGCAAAAAATATAAAAAAATATTTGCATACAATTCTGTCATCGTTAAAAAAGAATTTGTATAAATTTTGCTTGAATCACTGATGATTTTACACATGGAAGATAAATAAAATGGAACAGATGCCATAACTTTTGCAATTGGAGACTCCTTCAAAGTTGCTTTAACAACTTCTTTTTTTTCTTCTATAACATGATTTTCTATATAATTTTCAACTCCATCTTTGTTAAACCCCATTATTTGAATAGTTAACTTATCCTCATGCTCTCTATATATATTTTGGAATTTATCAATTGCATAAACTCTACCAGCAACTACATGTTTATAACTTTGAATTTCTGTTAAAACATTAACAATCGGATAGGTACAACTTGAATTCGGATCTAACAATTCATTTATATATTTAAATTCATCTAATCCATCAATTATAAACAACGCAGTATTCTTACTAATATTAAAATCATTTATAACATCTTTGTAGAAAACATTAAGTAATTCATTAATATTCGAAATATTTTGATATTGATTAAGCCTCTTGCATTCCAAGTAAAAAACAAGTTCAACGTTATTCCAAATCAAATTATTTGACCAATCGAGTAAACATTTTCTGAGCAACCATGTTTTCCCAATACCAGCTATTCCAGATATTAATATTAGAGATTTTTCTTTCATAAATATGTCACTGTATGGAATTGGTGTATAACTCATTTGCTTTTTAAGAAATTTCTTTCGTTCATTACTACAAACAACATCCATTTGAGTATTATATGCATCTACAATACATAGATCAACAAATTTTTGTATTAAATCAACATTAGCAGGTGTTTTTAATAGTGGTTGAACTTCGTTTATTTTTCCATGATTTTTCAGATAATAATTTTTTAGTGCTGTGCATATCTCTGACATATCTAAACATAAATCATCATTATCTGCTAGTAATTTTTGGTTTATTAAAATCTATAATAGTTAAAACGTAGTATTATTGTGTAAATTTCGAAATAACTTCTTGTTTAAGCTAAATATTATAATTATTATTTCAAACTACGGTAATTACCTTTCTTTACATGAACTCTGCTAGCAACATCAGATGGATTTGAAGAATCTAAATGATAGTTATGTAAAAACTATACTTCTGACAATGATTCTATTTAAGGTTAATTTTAGTTATCTTCCGATCTTACAAATTTATAATCTATAAAGTTAATTTTGTATGTAAACACTTAAATTAAACTTAAAATAGTTTAATTCACCACTATCAAAGATCAAAACATGAACAACTTTCTTTAATTTGTATAAATATCTTTTTTTAATCATACACCTTTAAAACAGAAAGACAAACAAAACTTTATTTTTTTATCTTGATAAAGATTAAAAATTACATATTTAAAACAGAAACCGTAAAAAACAAGCCTCTTGTTCACAGAATCACGTTGAGTGCTTTACTCTCTAGTAAATTTTACACAATTTAATAGAATTTTACAGAACTAACACAACAAAAAGATAAAAATTTTTTGACACTCAGTTTATTCTTTTTAGAATTGCATCCCAGAAAATGTTCTGTAACATCAAATTCTTCCATTTTTATCCTGGAAGCAATTAATTAAATTTTTTGATCGTTCAATTAAAATTCAACTAAAATATTCATTAACTTATAGTTATTTAAATTATGCTAATGTTGCATGGGGAAGCACTGAAAAAAAAATAAAACGCCTTTATCGCCGTCAGACACATGCGATCCGTTTAATGAATTTTTAACAAGAAATAAAACAACATTTTTTCCTTGTTTTTTTTTTTGCCGAAAAAAAAAGAAGGTATTTTAAGGTATTTTTAACAAAAAACAATAACTATTTTTGAAATTTTTATAAAGTTTTACTTCTTTTGAGACCCAACATTTTGGATCTAATTGATACACTCATTCCGAACCACTTTTTATTGAAATAAAAATTTTAAATATTTATGAACTTAATGTTTTAAATGTTTTGTGCTTTATGTATATGTTGAAAAATGACTTGAAAAATGACTTTGAAAAATCTTTACCTGTTTTCAAAGATCTCTTTTGTTTGAAACAAATTAATAAATATAATTTATTGAGAAACAATAATTTTATATATGAGGCCTTTTGTCGAACCAAGTTTAATCAGTTTTGTATTACATATCATGAACTCTATCTTTGGAATAAAATTGTTTTGTCCAATTTCGACATGCATTTTACTTTTCTCATTTTCAAATATTAACTGAAAAATTTAATCTTAATGGATGATGTAGTCAGATATTTTTAATTGTAATTTATTTTTTCTTTAGATCTTTTATTGTTTATCACGTTTTATTTTGTTGATTATGTTTTGATGTAGTTTATATACACACGCTTGTAAAAGGCTCTGATGATAAATCAGTATAATCTTCTTTCAGAAACCTTATTTGTGTTTGTGAAAGTAATAAATTTACTACGACAACAAATGTAAACTCAAAAAAAAAAAAAAAGATAAGGAGAAAGAGCTTAATCAATTTGATCAGAAATAACATTAAAAACCTTGAGAAAAAGGAGAGCAATAAAGAACAAAGAGTAAGGTGATGGAGTGAGGTGGTGCTAAACAAAAGCACATAAAAGAATAGTCAATACATTCAAACTAGTTTTTTTTAAAAACACTCTCTACAATAACTGCAATGTGAAAAAGTTTATTGACGATAAACGCAATGCCATTTTACATAAAGCTTTTGACAGTAAATGCAATGTTACTTTACAAGATTTTAAATATGTTCAAAATCACCAGATTTTATGTGATAATTAAAACTAGATACAAAATTATAAGTTTTAGACTCAGACTTTGGATGTTGGTTTTTAAAAAATTAATGTGTTTAATTATCAAAAGAAGAAAAATTTGGATAACCCGACTCTCGTGTCCTTAAAAAAAAAAAAGGCGAGGGGGCGGGACGTTTATCTTTTTTCGCAAAACTTTCCCAACATCCCTAAGTTGTTAAGACATCCTGCCCTGGTTTACTGGTTTATTAATTTTTATTAATCACTACTATACTAGTTAGGATTTATAAACCGAAATTTATAAAAAATACTTTTATTGTAAAATGAAAAGTTTCCCAGCCAACCTTTAATTATTCCCCTACCCCCGTTTATTAGTTTTGGACTAATATTCCCACTCCCTCTTATATTCTGATCTCTCCCACCTTGTATTACAGACTCGAGTAAATAGTTAAAGAAACTCCTAAATCTAAGTATAATTTTAAGTAAATTATAGATAAGTTGACTTTGCAGAATGTCAGTTTTAAAGTTACTTTTGAGTTCCAATATAAAAATGCACAATTAAGCTTGTCTGGAAATGATTGTTTACTGTGTAAATTAATATTTATGTTAGATTTAGAGACAAAACGAACTCTTGGTAGAATTAGTTGTTGGTACAGTAAACAGTAAGTTGACAGTAAATACAATAATGTCGTTCAACAAAGCTATCAAAGTACAAGCTGAAATAAAAAAAAATAAAAAAAAAACATTAGATAACTTAAGTTCTCGTGAAAACCATTGACCCATTTACTTGTTCAATTCTGATTGTTTCAGTACTTAAGATTTTTCTAGTAAGTAGCAAAACGGATTCAAAACAACAAGAACAAATTCGAAGAGTTCATTTCTTTTAGCAAACGAGGTTGCATTAAATTTAGCAAAGAAAAAGTAAAAAAAGTATTTTTCAAAAAAAGTGCAAGAGGCACATATTATTGCGTCATGTAAAAAGTTTAAACCAAATTAAGTAAGGTTTATAAGACATGTACTAAGATGTATCCAAAGTTCCATACTTTTAAATATTGATCTGTCTCAAGAAACACTGTGAAACATTTTCCAAGTTAAACAAGATTCAGGTCAAGTCTTAAAAGTGCAACAAGACTTTAAACACAAATAAAAAAAATTTTAATGTATGTCATGTTGGGTCTTAAAAGAAGCGTTTTTTGTTATAAATACCTTACAATACTTCTTTTTTTTCGGCAAAAAAAAAAAGGAAAAAATGTTTGTTTTTTTATTTCTTGTTAAAAAATAATAATTTTTATGCAATAAAAATAGAATAAAAATTATTCTGTAAGTTTTTATTATTTGAAATTTTTATAAAATTTTGTAACTTTAGAAACCAAACATGACATACACGCTACAAAAACTTTTTTTTCTTCTATTTAGGGTCTAGTTTCAAGTTTCAGATTTGAGGTGGCCCCCCTAAATCTCATTCAATTTTGTCTCAAAAATTTAACAAAGTCTCTTGTGAGAACCAGTATAAAGTTTTAGGAATAGGGTCAACTCAATTTTCAAATGTACAATGCATCCTACCATGTATGTAACATAAATTCAATAAATTCATTTTTTGTTTTTATTTTATTAGTTTTTTGGGAGCCATTGAACTTAAATAAGTTCAATGGCTCCCAAATAACTTTTAAGGCATCATTTAACAAAGTTTTTGACACTTTTTAGCACATTGTAAGGATTTTAAAAACTTATTTTTCTAAACCTACAGAACAAATCATCATATGCTTAAAGTTTTTGTGTGAATGACCACTTTAAACATAGTGGTCACTTAAGTCAACAAAGAATATACAGCTGAAAACAAGGAAATTAGGACATTATACTCAATAAATTTAGGGCATATTACTAGAAACTTAGAGCATTAAGAGCACTATACAGAAAAAATATATAAAAAAACAGTAGAATAAAAAAATAAGATACTTACTAATGATATAACTAAACAAAATATTTTTTTTTGTGTTGTAGACATTATTATTGAAATAAATTCAAATAAAATGTAAATTTAAAAATTGTAAATTTATAAAAAAAAAATGTTATTTTACAATAAAAAAATTTTAGAATTTACTTTACTTTTCAATTATAATTTTTCCACTTTTAACTATTTTTAATAATATAAAAATAACTTATTTTTCCTCATAATAAAATACAAAAAAAATCTCACCATTTTTAAATTTATTTCTCGATTGTTCAGACAAATCAAAGTTCAAAGTTTTGTATCTAAAGTAAAAACATTCTGAAAAGTAATCTTGTGACTATCGTGACTACTTAAAAGTAACAAATATATATATATATATATATATATATATATATATATATACACAATGTAACAAAAAAAAAAAATTTTCTGTTTATCAAAATTTTTTGATGTTTCTTAATTAATTTGAGTATGCTGAGTCTGAATATGACAATGGATTTTTTATTACATCAATCGTTTGGTCGTAAAACCAAAAAATCAATTAAACATATAATTAATATAAATCGTTTTGCATTAGATTCTACTTTAGTCAATATAAAACATTTACTAATTCAAAAGTGTTATGTTATGTTACAAAACTTCATGTTACATCATGTTTCTTACATACATTACATAATGTTACATTATATTGTATTGTAACAGTCTCTCACAATCTCAAAAAACACTAAAAGTGAACAGTAGAACGAGGTTTTCTTTTATGAAGTTTCTCGTCATCGCGTATCAAACACCAGATGTAGTCACCCATCATAGCTGCATCCCATCTGCCCTGGTATCTTTTCTCCATTGCAAGAATATCCTGATGGAAACGTTCCCCGTGCTCTTCACTCACATCACCCAAATTTGGTCTGAAAAATTCCAAGTGTGAATGCAGGTAATGCAGCTTTATTGACATTCTGCATTTCATATCTGCGTACCGTACAATTAAGTTTTCCACTATCTCTTTGTAGTTATCACTCTTATTGTTGCCTAAAAAGCTATGAACAACATGTCTAAATGCAGTCCATGCTTCTTTTTCAACAGCAGACATTTTGTCCTCAAGCTCCTTACATGCCAACATAACTTTAATCTGTGGACCAACGAATATACCTGCTGAAATTTTTGCATCTGACACCTTTGGAAACATTTGCCGAATATGCTGGAATGCTGCACTATCTGGGTTTAATGCTTTGACAAATTGTTTGATAAGACCAAGTTTAATGTGAAGGGGTGGTAGTAAGATCTTTTCAACAGGTATCAGAGATTGACTAATAACATTGTGCGAACCAGGCTGTAAATGTTCTCTCACTGGCCACTCACGTCTTGTGAAGTGCTGGTTTGCAGCCCTGCTATCCCATAAACAAAGAAAACACGAGTACTTTGTGTATCCTCCTTGCAGACCGAGAAGAAATGCTAGCATCTTAAAGTCTCCACATACATCTCAACAACATGAACAGGCAATTCATCACTGTGTGGAACTGGTCCAATAGAAGATGGTATACTTGGATAAACTAGAGTCAGCCTATCTTTTCGGTTTTTTAAATGTCAACAATATATATATTATATATATATATATGTATATATATATATATACATATATATATATATATATATATATATATATATATATATATATATATATATATATATATATACATATATATATATATATATATATATATATATATATATATATATATATATATATATATATATATATATATATATATATATGTATATATATAATTATTATTATTTTAATAAAAACCGGTATAGAGTGCTCAATACAGAGTAGAGCAAATTATATTCTTTATAATTAATTAATAAAACCTGGTAATTAAAGAAACATGACTCCGAGTTTGACGCCTACCCAGTGAACACGGACGTAAAAAAGACGTCTTTTAAACATCTTAAACACGTTTTAGACGCCTTTTAAACGTCTTTTGAACGCTTTAGACGTCTTTTGAACGTTAAAAAGACGTCTTTTTTTGGCCTGGTGCCCACTGGGTATGGCGATAATCAGATATTACAAATAATCATTACGACAAAAAATTAATTACAAAAAATACTACTTTTATATATATATATATATATATATATATATATATATATATATATATATATATATATATATATTGTTTTTTATAACTTTTTTAGTTATAAATTTAATTTGTTTTGGTATAAAATAAAATTTTGAACATTATAAAATTTTATTTAATGCCATTTTAAATCTCTATACATTTATTTAAATTTAAACATAATTTTAAAACATTTTTTCAAACATTATTTAAAGATAAAAATTATAATATAATATTAGATGAACAAAAAATACGAATATCTATGTAAAAAAGTTAAAACATGTTTTTTAATTATTTTAATTAGTTTTAAAATACTATAAAGTATTTTAAAATAAAATTAAAACTAAAATATTCAAACATTTTCCATACATAATATGTTTTTATTGACAGCCATGTCTGTCCCAAAGAGATTTTAAAGAGGGGGTGACATGTCTGTTTTTTGCTGAGTAAGACCGAGAAATTTTTATTTTCCAACTAAGAAAAAAAAATAATATAAAGGATAAAAAAGGGCATTGTTGGTTAATATTTGACTGCCAACTACAAATCCAATTTTGCAGACTTCAGTATTTTACTTGCAATAACTAAGAATATTCTTAGGGGGGCAAGACACTCCTATGCCCTACTCCCGTTCAGGATTACCCCGTTGACAGTTGCAAATAAAAAGTTGTTTCAGCTAATTAAAAAGTTACAAGAGGATGGTGAAAACTGTAAAACGTTTTGTTAAAAGTTTAATACTATTAAGCATTTTTTATTTTACACAAATGTAAAAGAAGAAAATATATATAAATAATCATTTTAACTTTTTAAAACTGTATTTAAAAGTGACACGTGCTATTAAAATAGATCAAAGTAAACTTATTTGACACTTGTTTGCATAAAAATATGAATTTTAAGTGCCTCAAAAGTCATACTTTAGACTTTTGAACTCTTTTTTGAGCTTGTTTTTGCTAGTCATAAAACTCAAAAAAAAAACTGTTCTCAAAGTTTCTTCTTAGTTAGAAGAAACAAATAAAAATGCATGGCAATTTTATTAATGGAAAATATTATATGTAAATCTGACTACAAAATCGCAAATTAAGCAATTTTTCCCAATTATTACGCATTACGGTAACTTTTTAGCTAATTTTAATTTTTTCATCTGGTAGAACTTCTTTTAACATTTCACAAATTTTTTTTAAAAGCTATTTTTAAATTTAATTTAATTTTAATTTTTAAATTTCTGTATTGATGAATATTACCCTATAATTAGAGTCTAGCAGTAACATGGTTGTCTAACAGTTACATTTTTCGATTTGGTACATATAAAATTCACAAATTAATATGTACAAATTAATATAATACAAATTAATAACTTAATCAAAACTAATTTACAAATTAATTCACCAATAAGAAACGAAATAAAATTTTAATCTCCTAACTATTCATTCGTGATATTTCATTTAGAAATATAAATATAGACTTCACTAACCTTTTTCTTTGCTTTTTAATATTCTTCTTCTTCCTCTTCCTAAAAATACATTTATTTTAATTGTTATCAAATAAATTGACTAATGTAAAAATCTCTACACTGTGAGGTCATTTCCGTAAAAGAAAGTAAGCAACATCAAATCCCTGAACTGTGCAAAGTTAAAATCTCAAGTCTGTGAGGTCATTCCTCTAAAAAAAGTAAGTGATTTGATTAAATCTCTAAACAGTTATTTTTTTTAACTATTCACTTCTCCTAGACCGAAAAGCCCTCTATAGTCAAGGAGACTACTTTTGTAGTTGCAATCCTCTCTGAACTCTATAACTCCAAAACATGATCGAACTTGACGAACAAGGCCACTGTGCGGAGAAACATGTTGAAAAAGATGTGGTGGGAATTGAACTTAGAACTTCTCGCTTACGAGTGAGCGCTCTACCACTAAACCACTACCACATAAAGTTTTTGTGAAACGATAAAATAAAAAAGCCACGTTCTTTCTGGCCACAGAGGAAGAGATAAAATTCTGTAAATTTCAAAAAAAAAAATATTTTTGTCTTTAATTACACTGTAATTTTTTTTACTGTAAATTTATTTTATTTTATTGCTTTTCTTAAAAAATTTAACAAAAAAAGGAATCATTATTTGCCCAACTAAACTTAGCAACTTCAATCAACATAGCTAAATTGATTTAGGTGACTTAAACCAACTCCAGATAAAAAATACAAATGGCTCTTACACCAGGACCAAGAATTGAAATTCAGTTCTTTTTTTACTATTCACTTTTTTTTTTAATTGATATTAAGGTGCCCCAAGAAGACCTTGAGGTCTTGTCACAGAGCACCGTGGAAGTGCTCATTTCGGACCTGTATTTCCTGCTTATAAAGCAAGCACTCTAACCACTGCACCATGGCCGCACCACTTCAAAAGTGGTGCCAAAGTAGCAATGAAGCTAATAAAAATATTTTGGAAGAATGTTGCCAATGCGCAAAACTGTAAATAGTAGATCTAGAGATCCAACAAATTTTTGTTGAGTGATAAAATCAAAATGGAGAAGTTATGTTACATGCTTGGCTAATTGCCAAATAGTTATTAACTATACTTTAACTTCTGCTTTAACAGATATAAGATCTGTATAGTCACATGTATCAGAAAGAGAATCAGCTGGCAGTGACAGTATAACATTTTGTTTGGTTTTTGTAGAATGGAATATACTGGAGCCCATTCATGTGAAATTAGTAAAAACCCAGTGCATATGGATCAAAACACCTATGCAATTTATGCAAAATTAGAAAGTAATATTGATCAAAGGAAAAACGCTGTAAAACACCTAAAAGTATGAGCTGAAAAAATGAATGAAGTTTCTTTGAAAACTTTAGTTTCCACAGCTTAGATACCTAAGATTTGACAACAGCTCAGGACTGAAAGTGTCTTTTGAATTTTAACCTAAACTAAACTCAGAAATAACATTGTGGGGCTCTTGTTAAATATAAAAATAATTTATATTAAAGTATCCAGTGCAATCAATGTTGTGTGAAAAACAAATAAAATCACTAAAAGAAAGCTTTATATTGCTAGTGATCAGCCACTTTTTTTTCCCTCTATGGTGTGACTCTGACAAGACAAGAAAAAAAAACATGACCCTAGGCAGAGATTATTGCTATATTGTTGCTGTTCTAAATATAGCAACTTTTTAAAGACTAAAAATCATTACATTAAGAAAAAAAAAATTATCATTTAACTGTCCAGTCCTCGGAATAAGGGTCGGTATTCGGCAATGCTAACCTAACTGATAACCTTAAAGTGTTTGAGGATGGCGAAAAATTGCCGATCTTGTTTTTATGTTTTATAGTAACTAGGGCTGCACCGAATTTCGACTCCGGCTCCTGCTCTGGCCGAAATCCGGCCATTTCTACAAATCCGGCCCAAATCCAGCTCCGACAAAAAATTAGCAAATCCGGCATAATTTTAGCCGAAGTTTTGAATTTTGTCAAATATTTATTACATTTTTGTTTGCCCGTGTTTAAATGTATACCTTATATTTTATTTATAAAAATCAATTTTTTTTGTAATTTTATATTCTATGAACCTCATATTTATTTTGGTATTTGAATTTATATTTCTTTATAATTTAATAAGCTTTGTCTAATTTCAAACTACAACGCAACAAAAAATTCTGAAGGGAAGACACACGATATTCTACAATGATCTAGGTGTAAAGACTAAGATGTCATTCCTAATAAAGTGATTGGATGAGCGTTTTAAAAGCATTGAAAAGAGAAACCTCTTTATACAATGACGAGGCTGGTTGATTCACAATTTAAAACTAAATTCTTCTCATTACAGGCAACACTGACAGCTGAAAAAGCAAGATTGAAGTCAATCTGAGCATGCTGAGCAGAAGATTGACAAAACTGAAGAAAATCCACCAAAGTAAGTCAGGCTTGATAATTTTTCTACATCATCATCATTACTCTGGCAATTTATTGATAAAATTATTCAGATTACGTCCGCTGGTGGCAGGGCACATGAACAACTATTACTAAAAGGCATTGAAACTCAGCTAAAGAAATATCCAAGAACCAGAAATAAATAGACACAATGATCCACGACAGTGGCGGAGTGACAAAATCCCGGAAAAAAAGTTTAATAGAATTACTATAAACTTTTAAAACATATGGCCTATAGAATTTCTATTAATTTATATATAGAAATTGCTATAAAACTTTTTAAATAACAACAATGAAGTTTAACAGAAAACAGCAGTCACTTGGTATTCTAAATAGTCCACATTGTTGACCATTCTCAACACCAAGTAGGGATGTACAGGATTTTGGCTCCTGTAGTTTTGTTTTGAAATCTGGCTCCGGCTCCGATTCCGGCCAGATCTGTCAGTAGAAATCCGGCAAATCCGGCTCCGCCCGGATTTGGAAAAATTAAATCTGGTACAGCCCTAATAGTAACCCCTTTGTGTCAAATTTTTTTGCCAACCTGATGCCAGCCTCTAACAGTTTAATGTGGGCAGTTTGTTGACGACCTAAATTTTCCTAACTTCGAAGGTTGACTGTCTGTAAATATGATAAGTATATACATTTTGAAATGCAATAAACAATATTAAGTAACATATAATGAATAAAATGTAAAGATATTTAATTACCTTAATTTATTTAGACTAGGTAAGTGATCTAAAAGTAAAAAAATTATATTTCTTATGTTTTACATTTTTTACATAAAAAATTAAAAAAAAATCATAATAAATCTTAAACAATATAAATACACAGTTTTATTGCACAAATTTTAGAAATATCCTGTACATAAGTTTCATATTATTTATATAACTCTTATAGTTAATAAGAATCTTGTGCAGTGCCTACGACACCAGAAAGGCCAGGAAAGCACATGCCCTCCCCCCCCCCACTTTTTTTCTAAAGGACCTTTTTTTTTTTAGAAAATTTTTTTTTTAAAAACAATATTGATATAGAGGACTTTTTTTACAAATTAATGATTGCCCCCCCCCCCCTCCCTTCACTTCAAAATTCATGTTGTTGGCCTTGTTGTTGTTTTTATTTCTTTTGCACAAACATAGCAGAACAAAAGTAGAAAAAAAGAAATAAACTTAAAAAGAAATATTTACTTTTTAGTTAAACTTACCTTTGAATTTCTCCTCAATTTCAGCTACTATATCATTACGGTTAAAAGTTATTAATTCTTTTTTTAATTGATCCCATGAAAGATTTCCATTTATTTGTTTCCATTTTTTTAAAACATTTTCAGCTTTATCAAAACATTTTGTATGATCAGAGTTAATGTTATCGAGGTCTGTATCATCTAATCCCAGGTGTCTTCCCCATCGAGACCAATCGCTCCCAATTTTATAACTTATTTCACCACAACATTTTGAAATTATTTTATTAGAATTCAACTTTTTTTTAAACACTAAACATTAGAAAAATATTATTATTTAGTTGTTCGTAAAAGAAATAGAAAATAAAAACATTACAAATCATGAAAACTAATTAAAAAAAAAGAATATAATACGACAAATGAATTTAGTTGATCTAAATAAATACTTAATCTATTAACATAAAAATCATAATTGTTTTAACTATGATGCCCTAAAAGTATAAAGGATCTAAACTTTGCAATAAACAAGGATAACAATAAAAGGATTAAGCAACAACACAAAAATAGGCAATCAATATCAACATCATGCGGGGAAGCTTATTTTTTATTGTTGCGACAAAAAATAGGCGTCCCCTGCAAAATTATAATTTGGGCCCCTAAATTATTTTTCTGCTTTCACCCCCTCCCTTTCTTCCCCAACCCTCCCCTACCTTCCCCCCCTCTCCCCCACACTTTATTTTCCTTGACCAAAGTTATACATGAAAACAAAACCCTTTTTTTTAAATACAATTAAGATTTAGTTAAATAGAAGCCAGTATTTTACGCTGTGCATGTCAAGTAAGTAAAAACTCTAATAAAAGTTTTTTTCTTGTCTTTATTGATGCAAATAGGTCTATAACACCTTTAAAATTTAATTGAGCTGCTAATTCTGCTTCAGTAGCTATTAGGTCTTGTGCACAGAAAATGATTTGGTAGTTATTTTAAGTGCTTTTTTTAGTTAACCTATATAAATAATTGAAAAATTTCCATTAAAGTAAAAGTTAAAATATGTTTATACTTTTGCCTCATTTATTCATACTTTTATTCTTAAAAAGACGGAATTTAAATCTGCGATTAAGCAAGAAATACTTGCTTTTTCAACCTAAAATTTTCAGGATCTCATTATAAGGTAGTATTATAAGGAACACAGGAATTAAAGCAGATTCAGAAACCTCTTACTTGTTTTACAAAAACTATTACAAAAATTGTAAAAAAATGTAAAAATTCAATAGAGGTGTATACAAAAAAAGCTATAAAATCTACATTTTTAAGAAAATTGCCTTAGTTCTGCTTTAACTCCTTCACAATACCATAACAAAATATACCCTGTAAGTTTAAAATCATTTGGATTATCATATCGAAAGATATTTAAATTATAAAAGTGAAAAAAACTAAAAAAAGAATATAGAATAAAACTAAAAAATAAAGAAAAAATGCAATAAAACAATTAATAAGCCCTAGATGCGTAGGCTGGTATAGTTTCACTTTGTTTTTCTTTATCCACAAATCTTTTCCTCCTCGCTCTTAGTTTTTTTTCTCAGTTTTTTTTTTTGTGCACTTTTTATTCATTACTATTATCCATTGATTGTCGGATTTTGTAGCATTATTGATTATAAAAAAAGCAATTTTTTTTGGAAGGTTTAAAGTGTGTTGGTTACCACAGAACATTCTATTATGTTATGAAAGAGTTAATGTAGGCAAACTTTAAATAATTTCCTATAAAATTAATCACCCTTAATTTATTTTTATTTGAAATATAAAATGACAATAACAATTAACAATTGAGAACACTTGGCAAATGTAAAGACTGTAAATTAAACAACTCTAATTTAACATGGAAAAAAATGTTATTTAAAGTATGGATTTTAAATAAGTATTATCTTGTTTTTTCAGCTTGAATAACACTTTTTCTGGTTGTGATTTTTATAAAGTTGCAAAAAAAATGAATTTTAGCCAACATATTCAATATTTTTTTTTAAATTCTTAAAATAAAAGATTTGATTTATTATAAAATTTAGAAGGACAAAAAGCCCAAAACATATTTTTGGTTTTTTAACTGAAAATAAGCGCATGAACCGCCCAAAACTTTTGCTGCCCCAACAAAAGCACCAAGTCAATGATAGTAGGTTTAATCTTCTTAGTCTTTTGCAGTATTGAAGATATCTTAAGCTAGAAGTCCATTTTGTTGCTTGGCGTTGAATAGATTCAACTAAGGTTTTATAAGTTTTTAAATAAGAAACCCAAATAGACACTGCATATATATGGTGTGGTCTAATAAATACTTTATATAACTTGAGAGACATATTTTTATCAATGAAAGTAAGGACTTTGAAACAACTGTTTGAAAATGTGTCCTCCACTTGGCGTTACATGCAATAATGACTCCTAAACTACGTACTTCAGTAGAGCTTTTTAGAGATTAGTTTATTATACTTTTTTATTTTGTTTCCCATTTATTCCAAAATATCTTACTTTTAACTTAATTCTGTTTTGAGGTAGAGAATCATGTCTTTGCCGAAATCGAGAATACATCAATAAATTAGTGAAATACTATAGAAGATGAAATAATGTCAAAAGTTTATATAAGATTTGTCACGCATGACTAATGGTGAAGTAAGGCATGTTAATTTCCAGAGAGCATTTTATTACTGTAAATGAGTGCGAAGATTTTGTTCAAGAGGTATTTTGATAACTTTGAAGGCAAAAGAGTTTAGGTTTTTGGATTAGGTTTTTAATATGTGGAGTAACTCAAGGATCATACTTTTCTTTGATTAATTAACCTTAAAGATAAAATATTCGCAAACAGTACAATTGTTAGAAATTAATAATTTCAAACATTTGATCTGCGGTTTTATGGAGAAATAAAATGCTTCAGTTTATCGATACAAACGGTTTAAAAATTCAAATTTGGAAAACTGTTTTAAAAATTAAATTTCTCAAATAATACTAATAAGCGACCCTAAGTATTATTACCTAATATAGAATTAGGAATCAATTTTAAAATAGAATTATTACTGTATGTAAATAACAAGTCCAACATATGGTTTGAGAAACTATAGAGTGTCTGGCCATAAGAAACGTGATATGTTTTAAACTACCGAAACTGAATCAGCCATTATAAGGCTTCCTAATTAAGCTATGAGCTAATATGAAGGATTCAATATATTATATTAAATTAACTATCACATAATATTTTTTAAATGAGCTATGAGCTAATTTAAAAGGTTCGATACATTATATTAAAGTAGCATTATTTGGTCTGTGTATAATCTAGATGGTATGTGTTTATTGTAAACTTTTACCAAAACTTGTTTGAGTTATATAAAACTAATTAACTTTATGATAAAAAAATACATCAGTAATAAAGATAGCTGCACCGCCACCTTAACGTCTGTCATAGAATTTTTTTTTTTAAATGAGATACTGTTTCAATATAATAGCTTTATTATTGCACTTTGCTTTAAAACCTTACGACCTAATACTTCCCACTTAACTAAATTGTTTATTTATGACTTAATACAGTTTGTTTTAATTTTTTAGATTTAGATAAATAAAAAGCTCACTACTAGAAGTATTAGTCAAGATTATTAATAAACAGAAAATAATTGTCTTTAAAAGAGTTTGTAGTTCTTAGCTATATAATAATAGCATAAATTGCTATTATTATATAGCTTATATACATCAGGCTTGGTTGGGAAGCAGGTGCGATCGCACTCGATAATTGGCCACGGAAATAATATTTAGTTGCGTAAAACCGGCCAGATTTTTTACTCGTTTTGAGAACATTTCAAAAGCAAACAAAAAAGCACAACTAGATTAACTGGACCGTTGAGAGACAGTTAAAAAAAGAAAACAGCTTTTAACGCAAAAAAACTTTAGGCAAAAAAATACGATTAGAGCAAATATTTTTGAAACGTCGTTCTTTTATATTTTTTTTTATAAAACTAGGCGACATTTATTAAATAAACTTACTATTAATGATTGTTTAATAAGGAAACAAATGTTCTTTAATTTATCAACGAGTATAAAATTTTTATTTATATACTTATGTCTTATTTCCAGTATTGGATTGAGGAGGTAAGGGAGAGGGGGATATGGTAGAAGGGCTATAGCGCAGTATTTTTTTTAGTCATTTTTACGCTGTAGCACATAATAAATGCCACTAAAATAATGCAGCCCGCGGCCCTGAAAAGTCCAACAACCAGTAAAACTAACTCTACATGATTTATTTATAAATAAAAAAGTTTTTTTAATAACTATTTTATGCTTCGCGTAGTTTGAAAAGTTTAACACATTTGAAACTATTCTTTTTAGTAAGATGAACAAATGAAATAATTAAATCGTTGAGTTACTGTAGAAATTTAATTAACTAGATAAAAACTAACTAAAAACGTTAAATTACTTAGTGAGGAGGAAGCAGAACAGCTTCACATTACCGCTGATAATGTTTATTGAGTGGGCTTTATAATTTTAATAAGTATTTAAAACAGAAAAGATTTAAGTATAACAAGTTAGTAAGAATCGCCAAAGAAAAATAATTGAAGTTAGTTAACCAAATTCTAAGAACTTAAAAACTTTTCTTTCTAAGAACTTAAAAACATAAATTTAAAACATTTATTTTTGCAAACAATTAATGTTAATTTATAACATTTATAGCTTTGTAGATGTGGCTTCGAGAATGACATAGTATTAAAATAAAAGTTCGTTTGAACTCATTGTTAAAACAATTTATGTTAGAAATCTCAACAAAAACATAACAAAACTCAAATAATACAACTTTTTAAAATATTTCAACAGAATATAAAATAATTCAACAGAATACTCTAACATTTAATTAGTGTTTTATGAATACTCTTAAAACTTCCAATTTGCAAAAAGTTTGTGAAAGTCTGTAATACAAAATATTCTAAGATTTACGATAACTTAATAATTATTTTGCGGACAAACAAGGATACATACGTGAAATTGAATGTTCTCAAAACAACTAAAAAATCTGGCCAGTTTTTCACAACTAAATATTATTTCCGTGGTCAGTTATCGAGTGCAATTGCACCCGCTTCCCAACCAAGCCTGTATACATGTATATTATATTTAAAAATAACAACTTTTAAACAAAAAAATTTGAAAATTTTTGATTGAGAATTGATAACTTTGGGCCCTACCCCGGCTCTGGGCCTTGCGACCCCTTCACTAAACTACTGCAACAAAAAAAGCTGCATTTAAAAGTTATAAGTCATCAGAATAAAGATTTTATAAAAATTGAAACTCGATAAAAAGCACCTGTTATTTTAGATACGATATCTTTTTTTTTTATAACTGTGTTTATAATAATCAAAAAATATTTATTTTTTAAAAATGAAAAAGATACTGAAAGATTTTATATAAGAATAAATAAAAAGTACAGAGAACTTTAAAAAAATATATATATTTGTTTATCATTTAAATTACAGAAGATATAACATGATAAATAATATATGATATGTTATAAATAATAGTCAAAAAATGTAGAGGTTTATACTCTTATAATCTCAATGTTGAAGGTGCTTCAGGTCTGCATACAGACCTAAAGCACCATCAACATGTATGCTTATCACTCTTTACTCAAAAAATTGTTTAAAAACACAACTTAAATTGTGTTTCTTCAAAAATCTTAGTTAATATTGATCTGAAATTTTTAAATCATGATTTTCTCATATTCTTATGATAAGTTTTATGATGGATCTTACTACACTTGAAATACATGAATGAACTTACTCCATGAATGAACTTACTCCATGGAATGACCCTATATTAACCTCCCTACCTTATTAACAAGAAATGCTATCAGAGGCAGTTATCAATTCAACTATGATTAAATGTTTATTAAAACATGTAATCACAAGGGAAAATTCTTGCTTACTAGATTTTTGTTATATAACTAATAAAACCTTATAAGCATGCTTGTTCTTTGTTCAACTTATCTGTTATAATTTTCTGACTTAGTGTCCAGTTAAACTAACCCTAACATTGCAGACGTTCAACAAACTTTTTTTCTAAATAAGTTCAGCTATTAAAAAACATGACATAAGATCTGAAAAAAATTTGAACTTTCAATACATTTAATATCATAAAAAAATAATTACATGCTAACTCATCAATTGTTCCAACTAGATCCATTCTCTTCATTTTCATTAAAGCTGATTTTAACTCCTCAAATGTTGGATTTCCATTAATCTGCACCCATTTAGTTAACATTAAATACGCTTTTGCATCAGCTTTAGTATCATCTTTATCAATCATGTCTAAATAGTTTTCTTCAATATTTAACCAACGTCCAAGAGTTTTCCAATCTTCTCCAACACTATCACTAAATTCTAATTTAAATTCATGGCTGAAAACTGTGCATTCATTTTTTTCGAGATTAGTAAAAAGTTGATTCATGATGTTTCTACAAAAAATACAAAATTCTTTATGATACCAGGGTAAATACAATATATATGAACATATACCTATCTTTAAAAGTCAAATTCTAGTCAAACAATATATTGTAATTAAATAAAAAGAATTCAATAAAAAAAGTACAGAGTATACACTATTTTTAAATACAATTTGATTTAACAATATATTTAAAATACTTTGCGAACTAATGTGGTAAGCATCATTCAGAAATAAAGTAACTTTAAAACTTTTTTTTAAGTATATATATATATATATATATATATATATATATATATATATATATATATATATATATATATATATATATATATATCATTTGTATATTTTGTAAAATAATGTACAAAAAAACTCTTGTTTGTTTAAAAGTGATCAATAATATAAAAACAAAAATTTTTATAACAGATCTAATTATAAAATATAATTATTTAGTATTAAAAAGAAAAAAATACAACTTTTTGTTGGTACTCAGAGTTTCATGCCTTAAATATATATTTTACAACTAAACTTTACTTACAACTATACATTAGCCATATATACTTTTAAATCAAGATATTAAAAAACCGTTTAAAATTCAAATTAAGCAATGCAATAGGATCTGACGTCAAAACATCGACTACACGAAGTGTACCTTAAGCCTGTGTCGAATTGACAAAGGAATTTATTTCTATGATGACATTTTGATATAATTCCAGTCTTTTTATTTAATAAACTATTGTCATTATTTGAAATAATTTCATATATTTCATTACGGCATAATGCGATTTTTTTGTCAGGTTATATGCTTCACATCTATAATTTTTTTCCAATTGATCACAGGATTTTTATCTTTATCTTTCAAGTTCTAAACCTCCTTTGACAGCTCTGTATTGTTTTTATACTTAGGGATATTAAACGATTTCAAACGGTTAGCATATCTCAGTTTGAAAGATGTTTCACAAATATCAATGTATGAATTTTTTATTGATGGGTTATCCGAAGTGATGGTTGCTTGGTATACAATGTTGTTGGTCAAGCAGTTATTGTGTAAAGGACAATTGATTTTAATAAGGCAGTTGCAGTTATCTTTATTAATGGTTAGATTTTTGTTTAGGATGTGCTTGTTGTGTAAATTTATTATTGATTTTATGTTTGGCATGCAACTGTAGCTGATTTTTATTGTGTTTTTGTTGAAAATTTTGTGTAGTCTGTTGTTAATTGGAAAATGTTTGACAATCAAGTTTAAAAAGCGTTTTCCTATATTTGTGGTGACATTCATGCTATAGGGTGGGTTGTACCAGATTATTTTACGCGTACAGTTTTTCTTTTGTTGTTGTTTTAAGTTAGGTTGGTAAGATAAATTATGTTTATAACCAGAGTTTCATAGTGCTTCATTATAAATAGGTACAGATTATTTAAACACCTCTTCGCTGGTATGACTGGTCGCTGAGGTTAAGAGTTACATCAAGGTAATTCACAAATTTGTGGTTGAGCTGTTTAGATATTTTAAGATTATACATTTGAATAAGTGAGTGATACGCTTTTTAATTTTCTCCATTTGCTGACCAGTAGTATTTTTAAAAACTGCTAGTCTGTCATTGCGGTGTAAGTCAAAGTCATATTTACTATAAAAATTTGAAATTTGAAAAAGAACGAATATCCCAACAAACTCATATATCTCCAGACTATCAAACGCACCCATTATAACGTCAAACAAACCGCCTGACTTTTTCATCCAAACCTGGCCATTATTAAACAGTAAAGATTTCCTTGCATTAATAATAATTGACTTTTGTTCTATGCTTATTGTGACATGTTTTACCACAAAACTGAAAGAATCGTTAAAAAGTTTTTCACTAATTGAAGGGTAGAAATCATTGATATTAAAGATGAGAAATATATAAAGGTGTTTATCTTTTATATTTTTTAACCAATTAATAACATCTTAAGTGCTTTTCCACTGATTAAGATGTAAAGTATTTATTAATTCAGAGTTTAATTTTGTGAGAATGTCTTTACTAATTCTTCCAATTTCATTTTTTGCCGGATTTATTAATCTAACTGTTGGATTGTTTGTAAAATTAGTTTGATGGTCTTTTGACATTATGAAGCAGTTAGAAGATGCATTAATGTCAATTTTGTTAAAAAGAGCATGATTCTTTGAAATTTTTTCACCTTTTTTGTTTATATTATGATTGATGCGAGGCATGATATTATAAAAATTATAAAAATCTTTTATAATATCACAAATAATATCATGTCTCGTCGAATAATATAAATCTTACTCATATCTTATATATAAACATTACTCATATCTTATATATATATATATATATATATATATATATATATATATATATATATATATATATATATATATATATATATATATATATATATATATATTTATATATATATATATATATATATATATAAAAATATATATATATATATATATATATATATATAAAATATATATATATATATATATATATATATATATATATATATATATATATATATATATATATATATATATATATATATATATATATATATATATATATATATCTTACTCAGATAGTTAACTTTGTAACTCAATTTCCTGACAACTCTAATCATTTACCTTCACTCCTTGACTTATGTCTTGTCTCTGACCCTAGCTTATGTTTAGTTTCTCCCTTTTCTCCCTTAGGTGGTTCTGATCATGTATGATCTCTATAAATCTTTCTTCTCGTACTTCTTTTTTGGGCTCACCTTATCATCGCACCACCTTCTACTACCCTAAAGCTGATTAAGATTCCTTTCGTGATTTTCTTCGTGATGGTCCTTGGGCTGATGTTTTTTCTCTCTCAGCTGACAAATGCGCCTCCTACGTAACCTCCTGGATTCAGGCTGGAATGGAAGCTTTTATTCCTTCTCGTCGATTTCAAGTCAAGCCTCACTCTACTCCATGGTTTTCTCCTTCTTGTGCGGCTGCTATATCCAATCGTAACCTTTTTTTTCATCTTTTTTAAAAGAACAACTCTCTTGAGAACAAACGGCTATTTATTATTGCAAGAAATCGATGTAAAAAGGTGCTTTCTGATGCTAAACTCCATTATTCTCAGTTCACTAAATCTCGCATCTTATCGCAGAAGTTAGGCTCTAAAGACTTTTGGAAAATCTTCAGCAGCATTGTTAACAAGGGTAGATCTAACATTCCATCTCTCATTCATGGGACTGATCTTGTTACCTCTCCCAGGGATAAGGCAGAACTGTTTGCAAAGAACTTTTTTTCTAATTCCACTCTTGAATCTTATGGACATTCTCTTCCTTCCATTCCAGTCAAACAGGTTGACCCATTGTTAGACATTCAAATCACTCCGGCTTCTGTTGCTCAAGTCATATCTCAATTAAACTCGTCTACAGCTTGTGGTCCAGACAACATTCCTGTCACAGTCTTGCAGAATTGTTCTCCAGAACTTTCTTCAATTCTCTCTAAACTATTTAACAAGTGTTTGACTGAGTCTTGTTTTCCTGCTTGTTGGAAAATGGCATCTGTGGTTCCAATATTCAAAAATTCTGGAGAAAATTCTGACCCCTCCAATTATCGTCCGAACAGTCTTCTTTCTGTTGTTAGCAAGGTCTTTGAGTCTTTGATCAACAAATTCCTCACATCTCATCTTGAGTCAAATAAACTGCTCTCAGACAATCAATACGGTTTTGGATCCTCTCGCTCTACGGCCGACTTGCTAACTGCTGTAACTGAAAGATTTTATCGTGCATTAGATTGAGGCGGTGAGGCTAGGGCTATTGCTCACGACATATCTAAAGCTTTCGAAAAAGTTTGGCATGCTGGTCTTCTCCATAAGCTTGCTTCATATGGTATTTCTGGGAAATTTTTTGAGATTATCAAATCATTTCTTTCTGACCGGTTTATTAAAATCATTCTTAAAGGCCAACATTCTTCTTTATTTCCAGTAACTTCTGGGGTTCCCCAAGGTTCCATCTTGGGCCCTGTTTTGTTTCTTATCTACATAAACTTACTGAGTCGTCCTCTTTACGTCTTCTCGGATTATCGCTTACTACTGACCTTTCATGGAAACCATATATACAATCGATTGCTAAATTAGCTTCTGCTAAGGTTGCTTCTCTTTATCGTGCTCGCCATTTCCTTACTTCTGATTCCATTCTCTACCTCTACAAATCTCTTATTCGTCCCTGTATGGAATACTGTTGTCATATTTGGGCTGGTTCTTCTAACGATTCACTTTCTCTTCTTGACAAGGTCCAAAAACGCATTGTAAATGTTGTTGGACCTGGACTATCTGCTAAGCTTGAACCTCTTTTCCATCGTCGAAAAGTTGCATCTCTTTCTCTTTTCTACAGATACTATCATGGTCACTGCTCAAAGGAGTTATCATCTCTAGTTCCATCAACTAAAATTCATTCTCGTTTTACTCGTCATTCAGCTAAGTCTCATTCGTTTACTGTATCTGTCCCTGCATTCTCTAAAAACTTTTATTCATCTAGTTTTTTTCCCCGCATTTTAATCCTTTGGAACTCTTTCCCATCTTTATGTTTTCCTGACTTATACAACCTTCAACTTTTTAAGTCTTTTGTCAACCGTTTCCTTGCTCTTTAACTCTGTTCTTTTTTTTTCCTAGTAACTCCCAACTTAATAGTGGTTGCTTACAACCTTGTTGGGAGTGAATGCAAATAAAAAAAAAAAAAAAATATATATATATATATATATATATATATATATATATATATATATATATATATATATATATAAAAACAGTAATAGACAAAACTTTGCAACCAACATCGAACAATGCTAAAAAGAGTTCCTAACTGTACATGTCTTAAAAATGACATAAAAATGTACATGTCTTAAAATGACATAAGCAGACTTGGTCGGGAAGCGGGAGCGATTGCTCTTGAATACTGACCACGGAAATTATATTTAGTTGCGTAAAACTGGCCAGGTTTTTTAGACATTTAAGTTTATGTACGAAAAAAAAAATTTTTGTTTTACGGACATACATG